GATCCAAAAAATATTTTCTTAATACATGCTAAAACACTTAAGCATATTCAAACATCTTCAAAACTTCTAAATAAGACAAACCTCATCAAACTCATTTTTGTGCTTTTGTGCACTTTTTTCTTTTAAGAGCCTCTTTTAAAAGATGAGATATTAGTCTATTCTTATAGTGATGCAAACCAATATACTTCTACAAGATGCTGAGAAATGATTGACATTTTCCACTTGAATGTTGAGATGTACTTGTGAGAAATTCCAAGTAGAAGTTCTCCATTTCAAGATTATGCAAATGCCTATTTCCTCATACTTGTGGGTAGTAAGTAGATTTATCCACTCGAAATGACAAAGTTTCTTTTAATTTTAAATCAATCAACAAACAAACCAGTTTTTATAAATATAGATTTGTAAGTGGTTTCTGTTGAGTACAACGGATGTGAGGGGTGCTAATATCTTCATCTTGTATAACCAACCCTCGTATGCAGATCTCTCTTTTTCAGCCTTTTGATTTTTGTGGATTTTCTTTGACCTTTTTCCCTTTTCCTTTTAGAAACAATAAAGTTCGATGGTGACTCATGCTTTTCTGAGTTAAGTTAAATAATAGCTTAATATCAGTAATTTTTCCCACCGTGAAACCTGCGATCTATGGTTTAATATGTAACACCTTTCTTAGCCCCGCAGAATATATATAAATAATCAGAGTAATTATCATGCATCTCACAAAAGAGTGTCACATATAATTTCAAAACATCCCACAAATGCCTGTCATACTCATTAACACTAAAAATAAATTCATATTTTTCATAAACTTTCACCTTAGCATGTAGCAACGGATTTAATTTAATTATAATTGACATAATGAAAGTCTCATACTCATCTCATTCATAATCAATACTTAGGCATAAAAGCCAATATTCCACATAATTCAAATAAACATAATGACATATAGAAGAGTACATAATGTATCTCTCAAACATAAATCGAAACGATCCCAATATTACATGATCAGAGCACGACTCGACCCAACATAAATAAAGACACTAAGCAAGCTACTCCAATAGTTACCTCGTGCTAGAAGCAACTTTACTCCTCGGTACCTGAGTGATGTCGTATAAAACATCATTCCAACAGAAGGGTGAGAATTCACATAATTATTGAAATTATAAGACAATATAATTTTAAGGCATACCAGCATAATTACAATTATTCTCACACTTCAAAGTTTCATCAACAAAGTATCACTCAAGTAACCATATCATTCACGAGTATATACACATCATCCATGATTTCACCAATTACAACGATTCACACAGATACACATAATCTCATAGCACAAACATATACACAATGAAACTCAATGCAAAACTCAATGCAAGACCCAATGCAACTCATGTCATGTGGTACCAACACTTGTTATTATTTTTCGGTTTTTACATTTAAACTGGGTTCGTTCCCTAGACCAATAACACACAAAAAGCCCATTCCCTAAGCTTTCAAACCCCATTCTAGGTTTGGGACAAGTCACTAGCTCCCACGAAACTAATAAGCATTTTCTTTTGACACAAATGATGCACGTGCAAGTTCACAACCATATGCGATTAAGATCATTCCCTAATCTTAACATTCATGCATATCTTCAATAATTCATCACACTTGAATTATCACACAATTATACATACTTGCACATTTTTATGAATCATCCACACACAATTCACTTTCAAATTGTATACAATACATTTTACAGTACAATCACAATTGTATTATCATTACAACAAGAAATAACTATCATGCATTTCATGTTGTCACACACACAAAACATACTTATACAAGCATACACATAAGTAATCAATAAATTATCCACAATAATTGCACAACCGGCAACAAATAAGGCAACAGTTCATTAGTAGAACACATACACAATTGACTTCCCAAACATATTAGATATAAAAATATTCGGCAAACAATTTATCATTTATATTATGTTATAGCTCTATTCATTAGCTTTCCAACTTTTCGAACGGGGACCAAAACCGAGTTACGGATCAAAAGTTATGGCCATAATCGTCGGAACAAAAATCTTACCAATACGCAGCCTTGCGTCGATCGTTAGAGACGGATCAGCCGATGCAAACAGTCCAGAATCAAATCTAGAAAAATGCATTCAGTATGCGTCTACCGTTGCGACGTATGCATCGACACAAACAACACAAAATGCAGAATTTTCTATGTTTTTCACCGTTCACTAGTGGAAAAAAGGCTTTTTAAGTCGGTTAAAAATGAATTTTTAAGTCGGGTCCGAGCCCAACCTAAGAATTACCGTCATAAGAAGTTTTGACTTCTTAAGTCGGTTGTCAACCTGACTTAAGAAACAACTTCTTAGGTCGGTTAGGCAAAACCCGACTTAATAAGTCTATCCTGCAGAAACCATTTATACCCGACCTAAGAACTTACTTCTTAAGTCGGGTATAATTAACCGACCTAAGAAGTTTTTTTTTTTTTTTGGATAATACTTTTTTTAATATATATATATATATATATATATATATATATATATTAAAGAATCGATTAACAATCAAAATATTTTAAAGATTGGAAGGTTGGAAGTTCATAACAATGTAAAGCCAGTATTGCTAAATTTGGTTTATTAACCAAATTAGCAGTTTTTACAAATTAGCAAGTTGTATCTGAAATTTACAGCTTGGAAACGCGACTCAATTATGAAAATTTCTAAAGCTAAGTTGTTACATGAGGAACAAGCCATTACGTAAATCCTACGAAATCCATAGAAACACAAGCGACCATTTGTTTGAATAGACTTTTCGCATTGAAGCAGTCCCAAGGACTCCGCCGAGCGAAATACATGTTGCTATGGTGCTTGGTATATCTCGCAGTAATCACCTACATTTGAACAAACAATGAAGATTCAGTAACAGCTGACGGCAGACGATATCAGAATGCCAAACCAATTGCAAGAATAAAAATCAATGGCAATTGTTTTCTCACTTATTCATGACAATCATTTGCTTACCGCCAAATTTCAGAACATAACAATTGTTGGAGGCTTGAGAATTTAGGTTTGCATCCTGTTTCCAGAATAAACAATGTTTATAATCTATGCCAAAATGTGATCTTAATGAATGTATAAAAGTAGCAATCTAATACTTACATCGTTATCAGTTTGGGCAGGCTGTGCCTTGATTGCTGTCATAGCTGCAGCTAATTCTTCAGCCTATTTAAATATTACAAGCAGCACTAACATCACAAATTAATATAGAACATATTTTTTTAAGGAAAATAATAGTATATCTATTAAAAAGAGAAATCAGGAAAATATCCAACAGAGTACAAGAAAAAACACAAAACTGACACAACAATCTAAACTCCAGAGCAAACCAACTTCAAAACTGCACCGCAAAGAAGAACAAGCTAGATCTCAAGCCAGTGGACGTCCACCGGCAAATCAAATTCTACCAAACAATAAAGGAAACACCGACACTCATAACCTGGTCATAAATCTCAATTATGTCTGAGGATTTAGCAACAGCAATAACCTGAGAAAACATTCACAAAACAAAAATTCTTTCACTGTTATTATAACAAAGTGCTTATGATAACAAAGCTTCATGTATAAACCAAAACTTATTTAATAAGCTTTGGCTTATATTTATATTTTGTAATCACAGATAATGGATGCGAAAATTTTCAAGATGCAGTTCATGTTTTTCCTTTGCTTTCTATTTCTCAACTCATTGTGCAGACTCCATAGATTCATAAAAGCTATTGTTGAAAGGATGAAAAAATTACAAAAATGGGTGATGAAAACTTAGAGGAACATTCAATCCTATTTGGGAAGAGGAACCAAAAAAGTACTACTTTTGCTTCTGGATATATCACCAACATCCACTCTTTCTTTCCATCCACATACCAATTCACTGAAATCATAGACGACGTCATGCCTTTATTGTTTAAGTGGAGCCTTCTTTTGTCTGTCTGATATCCGAGCAGGTGCGTCGGAATGCAACTTGAAACGAACCCTTCCTCCCTCATCTGTTTCCCGTATATCCATTCATATTCAATCTCTCATCATTGCTAATATGGATGTGTTCAACAAGTAACGAGTCAAGAACATAGAATTTGAAGAATGATGCACAACCAATGTTGCCAATAGTGTTATAGTGACACTATAGCTACTATTTGACAATATTTATAATAAATGGCTTATAGTGGAACAATGGTAATTTGTTCAAACTACGCAATGCTATAGCTGTTATTTAACAACACTGTGCACCAATAAGTTAGACAGCACAAGACAAGGTGAAGGGTAGATTTCTAACCTTTTTCTTAACAATTTGGACATCTTCATCACGGAGAACGTGACTAAGGCCGCAATGTTGTGGATAGTGCCTAGCACTTATACCCCACACCAGAACATATTTCACATCCTTCACCAAACTTCTATGTATGTGGTTGCAGAAATCCTCCACACTGCAGCCACCTCTATCCTAAAACAATATGCAATAGATAGTGATGGATTGGAAGACTAAAGTTTAATTAAAGATGAAGAGATACACCAATTTACAATCATCATGGACCCCTGCATCTATAATATTATCACACCAATTTACTTAATCTTATTAGTCCTAATTTTTTACAACCCTGATAAAGATGAAGAGATACACCAATTTCACTATACTTCCCTCGATAACACCAAATGACCAATTATAAGTAAAATAAAATATATTTCAACTTCCAGAACCATTAATTATAAGCTAAATGAAAACTAGCAGTTGCTTTCTCCATCATCAACTGGTATCATGCTACAAACGTGATAGCTACCGAAGATGTGACCTTATGACAAAACTGACCAAAAGAACCACAAGCTGAACTCCATACTGCTAATAGAGAAGCTAAAGAGCATTTGTGTGACAAATGATCAATAAGCATTAGCAAAACAAAAGTAACAGTTTTTTCTTAACCTTTTCTAAATGTGGAATAATAAGTTATTTTCACCTTTTCTTAACCTTCGAAAACAAATGATCTGCATGAAGGAGATCGTACAATCTGGGATAGGTGCTAAATAATTCGCACCAATCATGATATATACCAAAAAGCCCGCGTTCATAAATAATGGGAAGGGTATCTGCGGATTCTATTGACACTACATTCATGACCCAAATTTTCAAATCTTTCAAAGCTGCAGCAAATCTGGAAGAATTGGCAAAAGATGTCAAAATAGAGGACATATTAGCAAGCAAATATAATTCACAATAACATACGAAACAATGAATTTTTCTCACCCTCCATAGATAGAATTCATATCCATGACATTCCGCACATTTGACCACTGAATTCCTATCCCATTTAGATAAGACTTGGACACTACATTTTTCCAGTGTTTATCATCAGCAGCAAAATCTTCAGGGGTCGGCTTTCCATAAACTCCAACTTGGGAACTTGACAACCAATATGGTACTTTGGTCAGTCTAGCTGGCCACTTTTCTGGCCATTGTGACCCACGTTCACTTGAACTAACAGGCACTTTGTGTATGCATGCTTGCAATTTAATATACCCGTCACAACAGAGATTAGACTGCATGAACATTATAATACTAAATTTATTGAAACTTTTGCAAATAAATCTCAAAGCATGATGATTGTTCATTATGCAGCAGAAACATATAAGATCTTCTAGCCATATAAAAAGTCCCATTTCATTTTTATGCATACTTTCTTCATTTAACAAGATATGAAGGTTATAAAAAAAAACTATCAACTCTGTTTTTAAGTTTTCTCACAATGTACTGTGACTACAATCAAAGATTAAATCAGCAATTAACTAAGTAAAATAAAATCTCAACTTCTATTCTGATTTTTGCTTAAAAACACCATGTTAGTTAAGGAAGGAATACCATGCTGCATTGGGATCATCCGATGCTGGACACAGCGGAGGCTCATTCTTTAATCGTTTCTCATAACACTCATTGGATAATGGCTTCTTGTATATGGCTACACCAACTCCATTAACTTGATCCTTGCTGATCGCCACAAGTTCCCAGCATATTGATTTTGTTAGTGCTTTCATTTCTGTTGACAAATTCATGAATGTCAAGATTAAGAAACCTACATTATATAATGCACAAAAGATGAACACAACCAACACATGACTCTCATTATAATTTACCATTCCATATTTCAACATCTTCAGGAAGCTTCTGATAAATAGGAGTAGCAGACCATACAAAATATGTGAACCTGTTTGAACAAAGATTATAATCACAAAGAACCATAGCATATAAAAGGAGTAAATTTTACAATCTTAGCATAACTCTTATGTTATACACAACACTGCACTCGGGTTTTCAAATCCTATGGATAATTTCTTTTACAGAGCAGAACATTACAAATAAATTCATAAACATGGAGAAATATACGCTATAATGCAAAAGAAATAGTAGAACAAAGCTGATAGTTACCGGGATAAAACAAAGCAGGCCAGTGCCACCGTCCAACTGGCATCAGGGATTCGCAAATTTCTTCTGCAACAAATGCATCCAGTTGAAAGATTTACGAGAATTTGAGAAATCATAAGAGACAGCGCCGCAGTTAAACCAAGCGGTAGAGCTGGACTTCGAGGATACATGCACTGATTTGGCGAGATAAACTGAATTTGATAACCCTGAAGAAGTTATACAGTATTAGCAGTAGCTACCATAACAGTTCCATTCATGGAAAATTTTGGCACATCATAAGTTAAAATGTTAAAAGCTAGTATAAGCTATTTTTCTAACAATATATTACTATAAATTGATAAAAAAAAAACCTTACATCTAACTCCATGTTCTGGTGTAAAACCCTATCTATTCCAAAATTGGGAAAAAGAAAAGGACATTCAAGAAATTACATAAAATCAAAGACAAGATTCAACAAGTGAAATAAAAAACTTAATGAACAACACAAAGAATATACTAAACACTATACGTAAATTAAAATCTTCAAGAAAACAGTGAAATCAACCACAAGAAAAAGTGGTGGATCAATGTAAGAGATTAAAAGTGAATTTTTCGAGTAAACGAAAGTAAGAAGAAAAAAAAGAAAAACCTAAATCTGAAATTATAGTATATAAGAAGTTAGCAAAATAGAAGAATATAGGAGTAGATAACACTAACAGTGGAGTCGCCGTTGGATACAAACGACTTCATCTTCGAAACGAAATCCTCAGAGTCTAGAAACAGAAAGGGGGTGCCATGTTCAACCACAACTGCAATGTCTCTCATAAAAACCAACCTATTGAAACCAATTTCAATTCAATGAGAAAAAGAACAAAATCAGTTAGCAGAGGAATGAAATTGGAAGCACAAACCTGAGAAGGTTGGGTCAATCTCGAGCGAAACTCAAGCAGGAACTGACTTCGGCCTGCGACAATTCGGCAGGGGGAAGAAATGAATCGGCGGGAGGAATAGTGGATGTGTAGCCGGCGGAGGAGTTGTGTGCGAGAAACCCATATCAATACATTTTCCATTGACTATCAATTTAGGGTTTATGATTATAGTTGTGGTGAGGATATTGTTGGATTTCTCATATAACATAAATTATACTAAAATTGTTTTATTTTAATAAAATGTATTAAGTAGGAATCGAACCGGAGTCTTGTAAGACCCTCTTAGGTCAGGTAATAAACACCTGACTTAATAAATAAATTTCTAAGTCAGTTCAGTAAAAGAACCGACTTAAGAAATTTAATGAAAATTATATTTTTTTTTTATTTAATCTTTGTAGGTCGGTTAAACATATACCCGACATAACAAAGTTTCAAATATTTACGGATTTGCCACTGTGTGGTTTCTTAAGTCGGGTTATTGATGAACGGACTTAAAAACCTCTGCTAAGAAGGTATTTTTCCACTAGTGGTTAGAGGCCTTTCGGACCTCCGATTTTAATTTCGTAAAAAGCTCCAGTTCCATAATTCGAAAACTTACCATTATATCACAATTATAACAACCCACAACACATTTTTAAGGATCCTATCATCATATATCATGTAATCATTAATTTCAAAACCATGAAAATTAGAGATTTTTACCCTAAATATGATACTACCCATCATACACTATCATATAATCCCAATAATCATGTAAAAACTCACCCTTACCTTGTATTTTGGATGATTATTGAGCCCTCTCTCTTGGTTCTTCTTCTTCTCCGCCCTTCCTTCTCTCTATCCTTTTTCTTTCTCTTTACTAACTTTTTCTCTTTTTTTATTCTTCTTAAACTCACAATTTCTCAAAACCTAATAATTTCTAATGGGCTTACTAACCCATTTCTATTCACACACCCAATTAGGCCAATTAATTGATCTAAAAATTCTATATTATTCTACCAAATAGAATATATCAAATAGATAAATTAATTCAATAAATCAAATAATTCATTTAAATCAAATAAATTAGTTAATTCAATTAGACACAAAGTCACATAATTAATCAATTAATTTAATTTAATTAATAATTAATAAAAATTGGGGTGTTACATGATGAGTGTTTAGTTTAGTTTGAAATAGTTTGGGTAGGGTTATTGGAAAATGTGGTTTGGTTTTGAAGGTAAGAGATGAAGATGGTTAGGGTTTATGTCTGGATGGTTAGGGTTCATGTATGGGTAGGTTAGAGTTTTTTATCGTTATGTTAGGGTTCTTGTTTAGGGTTAATTTTCTTCATGTTCATCCAAGAACATGAAGAACATGGTGTTTTCTTGGTTTCCTAGGGTGGTTGGGGGTTTTGAAGTGTAGGTAATGGTTGAGCCACTAATGAAGGCGATTTCCGCGATGGCATTTTTAGAGAGAAGGAAAGTGTGTGGGATAAAGAGAGAGAAGATGGTCTGAGAGAAGAGAGATAGAGAGAAAATTGGGGAAATGAAATGATCTAAAGGAGGTACATTTAAATACTCCTCACATGCGCTCATAGGATCATCACACACGGCTCCCTGATGGCCTTTGAATTTGCATACTTTGACTATTCACCCATACACGGACACACTATGTTCCCCATTTGACTTTCAATCTCCCTGATTCATTTTGCTGACTCAAGCTGATATCCTAGTCCAATGTCCCTCATTTGATCACGTTGACTAGTTGGTCAATTGATCTAGTGGTCTCTGTGGAGATTCAACAGTTGAATCTCTTTGGTGGACTCAGGTTGTGCCTGAGCTTTCTTTTATTTAGGCCTTGCCCAATTTCTTTTTACACATCCTACTTTACTCACCCAATTGTAGTTCATACCCCCTCCTTTTTATTTAATTTTTTATTTATTATCTCAATTTACTTATTTTACTTAAATATTTATTTATTTTGTTTTTTAGCTAATCTTTTTTTGATAATTTTGATTACGGGCTTAAGTTATTTTCGTTTTTTAGAGATGTCAAAATAAAAAGTAAAAAAACATGTTCCATTATTTCATTAGGTTATGTAATTCAAAAATGTAAAAATATTTGATTCATTTAATCATCAAATACCAAAACATAAAAGTTTTCTCATCAACAACATCTGGTACATAAGTCAAAACTATTTTCACAATCAAATTAATTTAACCTTCTTGTAAATAATTGGACGAGTGGATGAACATCTACATTGTCCTCGAGTACCCAATTGTTTGGCGTGCACCGTATCGACAGGTCATTCAAATACAAAAAAAAAATAAAAATTAACATTAAAAAAATCAAAATATCTTTTGTGCCCTTGCGCACTTAATTCAAACTCTTTTTAGAAAAATAATAGTTTAGGTTATTTCGATGCTAAATACAAACAAGCGCTTCAGTCTCCATTGTGCGAGCATACAAGCCAATGTTTAAACGCAAGAATATGACTTAAACCTTATTATATAACATCAAACAACAAACACTTCTTTTTTTACTCAATTATAAGGCTCTGATTTTCTCATTACACCTGAGAATAGGTAGACACAGGGTTTCTAAAGTCTACCAAGCACACTAATAAAAAATCTTTTTCCCTTTTCTTCTGTAAATATCTCTTTTTTTTAAACACCTTTTAATAAAGAAACATTGCAAACATTCCTTAAGTAAACACATAACCCTAGCCTATTAGGAGGTTCTTGTTGAGTACAACGGATGTGAGGGGTGTTAATACCTTCCCCTCACATAATCGACTCTTGAACCTGTATTTTGTTGCGACGACCATCTATCCTCTTTCCTTAGGGTTTTATCGTTATTTTACCTTTCTTAGGAATAAATAAAATTTGGTGGTGACCCTGTTGGTTATCCGTGAGCGTGTGATGTGCTCGTAGGATCGTATTTTTTGAGATGTGACAAGATGAACTGGAAGAACAAGACAATGAATAAAATGAAGAATGGGGTGAAGAGACGACTAGTGAGGAGGATGACTAGATCAATGTTACATGTGTTTTAGCATTGCTGTTATGTTTTTTGTTTTTGTTTTTTTAAATTTAGTTACTTAGTGAATAATGTATGTTTTCTTTATGTATTTTGATGTTTAACAATTCCATGCACAAGGGACTTGGGAATGTTGGCATCCAATACATAATACATTAGCATACCCAAGCTCCTAAAATACTTTACTATTATTTGGAAATAGAG